CATCAACACCATTATCGTACAATCCTAACTCTTCCTCTAAGTCAGTAAGCCATCGCTCGCACTCGTTTATGGGGATTTCAACAATGTTATTTGTATCATTTGTCATTGACATCAATGATGGTGGCATTGACATAGAAACATCATCTAATACATCCCATATGTCTAGGTGGGGGTCGATGGGGATCTTCATATTGTCCAAGAAGAACACCTCTCCATCAGCACTGCTGCTACTAGTTTCACGAGAAAGAGAGATGGTGGTTGTGGAAGAGTAGGCGGGGCTCAACGAGCCCTCATGTAGTTTGATTGTGGTGTTTGATAGTAGTGGGGTTAGCTTACTAGGCTTGAGACGCTTTTTAAGGTGTGTGTTCCACACATTCTTAATCTCGTTGTCAGTTCTCCCTGGCAAGCATGCGGCAATCTTAGACCACCTACATATGCATTTATATCAAATACACATATTATTTCATGTGAATATCTTTTCAATACAGTTATTAAGTGATATCTTACTTGTTTCCAAGCATTTCATGGAGCTTGATGATGGTATCTTCTTCTTCCTTTGTGAAGTTTCCACGCTTGATATCAGGGCGGAGGTAGTTGATCCATCGAAGACGACAACTCTTTCCACAACGCAATAAACCTATAAATGCAACACATTGTATCTCTAGTGATCAATCACTATTACACTGATCAACATGGAACATATATACCAAGCCTCTAATCTAGAATACAATCTCAAACAAGAAGAAAAAGAAAGATTAATAACCTGCTTCCTTTGGAAGTGCTCTCCAATTTCTATGGCCGTTCTTCTTAATATAGGCGATAAGGCGCCTATCCTCCTCGAGCGTCCACGAGCCCTTGTTTAGCCCAACTTTTTGGCAGCAAGGAGCTCGCCCTCTACCCATCTCTCTCTCTCTCTCAATCTTTTCTGCTCTCTGTATTGTTTGATAGCTAAGACTATGGTGAACTTACATTAAACAGATGAAGGTAGCCATGAATTTATTTATATATATAATTGGGGATGCTTGAAGTATTATAAGTGGATGGATGGAGAAATTAAAGGGGTTTGGTGATGGTGATTCCACTCAACCAATGAGTGGTTTTCTTTGCACTGAAAGATTCTATCTCCTCACCAAACCCCTAATAAAGAAAGCAATGTTAGCAGAAAATAAATCTCTGAAAGCGACATGATTGAAAGGGAAGCAAGAATTTTCTATCTTTGTGCTGCTTATATCTTCATGTGAATCC